TCCCCCCCCCCCGCCCTGACGAATATTTGCGATAGCTCCCGAGCGCTGAGGGATAAAAGCGCCAAACATTTGTGCCTTATCTCCAATCAATTTAACATCTCCTGGAACAAAATTGTTTGTTCCAGTCCCCTTGATGACGTCACAGGATCGATTTTTCTAGATCCTTGCACGGCAATTTTCGATGTCACAGAAGTGAACTTTAAATAGCTGCCAGAAATAGAATTTTAAAGATAAAGGCAAGTTATGAGCACGGTTGTGTAGCATATCATCTAAATAGAAATGCAAAAATAAGTTTGTTGACATGAGTTCAGAGGTCAGGTCAACGACCCCGAACTGGCTTTTCAGCTGTTTTTGTTTTTAGCCACTAGCAAGGATACTTATGCGTGACCTTGGCGGTGGGGCAGCCTTGTATCGTAACATGAACCACAAATAGGGCCCTGATAAGGTTCAAAATATTTGAAAATATATTGGAACTTAGTACCTATGCAAGATATATGAAAAGGTGCACGGTTTGAGGTCAATTTTGAGCATGAAGTTGACCTTGATTTTGAAGTTTGAGCACATCATCGGATTTCTCAGCTTCCCTTCTTTCGTTTCCCAGCCGTTTTATCCGGTTTCATGCATCTTGCCGTCCTCTTTAAATTGCAATTGTTATCGCGAAATCCGGTTTGAATAAAAGATTCAGTGTGTCAACTTTCAGCTATCATTACCGCTAACGCGCCCCAAGCAATCACGCGAAAGGCGCTTAGGGGCGTTGGCATCTGAACCCTCTCTTCCCAGCAGGGTTGTGCTTGACTCATGAGTCGAGTCAGAAATTTGCCTCAACTCTGACTCAAATGAGTCAGATTTGAGTCGAGTCGGATAAAATGTTGAGCTATTGAGTTGAGTCAGAGTTGTGTCGGACAAAAATATTAAGGCGTTGAGTTGAGTCAGAGTTGAGTCAGTAAAATAACTTTTGACATTGGGTTGAGTCAAACATTTAGGAACATGAGTCAGCTGACTCAACTTTCTAGAAACAAACTTTTCATCCCCCCGCTTAACAACTTCGCCCTGGCTCTGCTGCCGGATTTTTTTCCACCCCCGCCCCCGCTCAGCAACTTTTTTATCTGAGTCAATTTTGAGTCAACTCACTTGACTCAACAAAAAATTTGAGTCAAGTTTGAGTTGACTCATATTTTCATTGAGCCGCTTGAGTCATGAGTCGAGTCAAGGGAAAAATCAGCTCCTTGTTTGAGTCAGAGTTGAGTCAGGGCTTTCTGAAGTTGAATGATGAGTCGAGTCGGCAATTTTTTTTTGAGTCGAGCACAACCCTGCTTCCCAGGCTGTGGAGAGCTAGCATTATAAAACATGGGTACCAGCCTGCTGATCAGCATGCACCTGCACCATCTAACTTACATAAGATCACTAACTTCGTAACATTTTTACAGCATGTAGTTACTATATACACACTGTAGTGTATAATGCATATCGCTCCCGCTAGCCAGTCCTTGTCAGTAAGCAATCGGGCGTGAAATGGTTCCCTGTGGACCATTCCACCCTCTGCCTTCTCATAACCTTATAAAGGCGAGGCGGTGTTGATTCTATCAGCCAGAACCTGTGGTGTTTTTTCTTGAGATGAATTATTGCATCCTAACATTATGTACACTGCAGGTAGCACTCTGCCTTTCTGTTCTGCCTTTATATTGGAGTTGTTTCGTTCTTCTGTGGACTTTACTATTAATTTATTTGAATTGTTTTTAAAGACTTTTGTTCGAGGATAACAGTGCCTTACTGATGGTTTACGCCAATTACGAATTAATTGCCTGTTTAGATGGTGACGGGCCAAACTGAAGTGGCGGGCAGCTGCGCAGGGACGGCATCCTCGGCGCCTCGGTTGGCAGGTGGCCGGCGGAAAATGCGCCAAGCGAGCCATTACAACGGTTCGTAAGCATGTACTCGTACACTGACCGTGCCCACCCAGCACTCAACAGATGAGAGCAAGCACACTTACCTTCTACCACATGAAATGTTTGTCTGACTTGCCATATACTCGTATGCTCAATATTTGTAAATTGGTATACGAACATCGGACCGTATTTTGTCGTAACGTACAATTTACCAATAAAACGTGGTGTTCCGTGCTATGCAACTAAAAAATGATCCAGTCAAATATACTAGGTCATATGGCATGATAAGTGTTGCATGAAAGTTGAAGAATGAACAATAGCAGCTAAGTATGATAACGACAAGCGCAAGAGAGGCATGAAACAAAAGACGACATTAGTTGTGGAACGCCCAAATCCCAATCACCCTAATGATAGCTTAGTTTTTACCTTCATGCACCTAATGAATGAATCCATTTATAGCACCTGCATACGAAATAAGCAATCAGTCATCCTCTTGAGGACTCACTTCCATGTCTATAGATTGGAAACTACAATAGTGCGATTTATGAGCAGTGAAGCTACATTGGAACTATCGATATATTAATTTCTTTGTCACAAGCACAATGGCATGCGTTTCTGGTTTTCAATTCTGTACCAGATTTAACTCTTTCGTACACTTGCGTATTAAAAACGTTTGTTTTCCCTTACAGCGAATTACGTTCAATTTACCACTAAAACTTGGTACTATACAACTAATAATAGCCCAACAATATGCCAAGACTAGTTTCGTGGCGAGGTTATGCACTGGGTTATGTCAGCCAACCCATGTTTGCGGGCCCGTGGGGTTCTGGAAATGACGCCCGATATGTAAGCTTACAGAACCTAAGAACGAGTACACGCGATGCGCACCGCGGGCACCTTGTGATGTGAGTGAGCTCATTTACCCATTTTTTTTTTTTTTACTGCGCTGTCGTTTTGTTCAGTTCCTTGAAAAGTGTAGCCTGTATTTTGTTCAGAAAAGAAAGATAAACGATCATGACTATCATTCCGTTATTTTGTTTTACTAATTGGCACTTTTACCGTTTTAGTTACAATATATGGCGATGGACCATGATAACGTGAAATCCTGTTTTGATACACATGGAGACAAATGCACCTTTATTGTTTATTGCTTAGCCCTGAACGAAACAAAACACACTCCATGCCTTTCCACACTCTAGCCATATCTACCATTTCTACATATCATCAACCAATCCAGGTAGAGCCCATATAGCGAGCATTCCCAGCATGTTGTGCAGAAATTGAATCTTGTTCACCATATCTGATCTACAAAAACTAATTACCTTAATGACCGAGCAGAGCATTAGCCCAAACAGCCCATTACATCAGAAGCCGATGGATTTTTAAACACGAAATAAAAAAATGCCTTCAGCGTGTAAATAGCATTGTTTCCCCAGACACCTTGAGATCGCCTAAGCACTTGCCGCTGGCCAGCACATCCAGTCGATACCTGCCGATCAGCTATTCGACGAAATCATCCCAGGTCACAGTTCACTTAAAAATAATTACGCAAACCATCACCACCGGCCGCAAGCACCGACTGCTTCAATCATCTCTCGAGAGCAAAAAAATAAATAAATATGTAAAAGTCACAACCTGTTTCTTCTATCGACCAGGCCGCCTAGCTTAAACAGTCTCTTCGAACAATATGCACACTCCACGCCCCACAGCCTTGTTACTTTCCCTGTATCTCGTCTCTCTGAACCAAATCTAGGCTGAATCACAACGATTTTTTTATAAGATAATCGAAAGTAGGTAGGTATAGGACTGCCGGACTCCATGAAAAGTTACGATAACAACAGAGGACCAAACCAGCAGTATTGAGGACTTTTTCGGTTCTAGGGGCTGCTTTCTTTGGGGTACAATTTCGAGAGAGAGAGAGAGAGAGAGAGAGAGAGAGAGAGAGAGAGAGAGAGAGAGAGAGAGAGAGAGAGAGAGAGAGAGAGAGAGAGAAGAGAGAGAGAGAGAGAGAGAGAGAGAGAGAGAGAGAGAGAGAGAGAGAGAGAGAGAGAGAGAGAGAGAGAGAGAGAGAGAGAGAGAGAGAGAGAGAGAGAGAGAGAGAGAGAGAGAGAGAGAGAGAGAGAAAACGCCGATCTAGATGTCTTCTATCCAAATCAATACGTTATATGATTAGATGTAGGGGAGAGTGGGGCAAAGCGGCCACCCTAACGCTTCTCACGATGCCAACGCAATTGATTTTTAAACTTGGAAAGATTCTTTCTATACCAATGTTATCCCTATTAAGTTGCCTTTTATTTCAACTGCGTTTTATTTCCAAAGGCGTTCACATATGAAAGATATTGACAAAACTTTAAACCTATGCATATTGGCCACTTTGCCCCATACCCTGGGGCAAAGCGGCCACCGGCGTCTTCTCAAGTCCCGATATGAGAAACAAAATAGTTGCCTCGTGTACGACTAGGGTATTTGATGGTGACAAGGTTAAGCGAGGATGGATGTTAACTTTATCATCTTCCACCTGTAGGTAAACAAAAAAAGGATTTTCATGAAAAAAACATTTAATTGAATTATTTGGTAACTCATGCAACTGAAAAGTGGCCAAGATGAATGCATGACGACACATTTGAATATAAATAATGTTTTTATCCAGATGAAAACAACTTATGACCAATTGGGGGTGGCCACTTTGCCCCGGCCACTTTGCCCCGCGCATACCGTCAAAGACAAAAATATTCCAGCTTAGCTATTAGTGGGATAAAAAACATTAAAATTGGTAGAATACATGTACGATTACCATGCAATGCATGGACAAGAGCGCTTATAAAAATTCCAAACGGTTATAGAATAACATAACATTTAAAAATTGTAAACAAAGTTGGTAACCTGGCAAGAAATGCTTTTCCGTGTTTCACAGAACAATGGTGATGGGCCTGAAACCCCGGTCTGGCTCATTCGAACGACCGTGAAGAGAAGTGTAATTGGAAACCATAAATTGGAACTGACGCCAGCTATGAAGGGCTAAAACGATGGGTGGCCGCTTTGCCCCGGGTGGCCGCTTTGCCCCACTCTCCCCTAGCTGAATACGAGTATGATAGTACCTATTGTATGTTTAGCTTTGAATTTTCCTCGGCGGCCCATATCAGCTATTTCATTTTACGTCCGCCGCCGTTTCCATTGTTACCGTTGTTGCCGTTATTGCCGTTGTTTCCATTGTTGGTGTTATTATTTGTATTAGTGTTGTCACCACCGTTGTTGGTGTTCATTGAGTTGTCGGTGACGGTGGTGGTGGTGGTGTCCATGCTGGTCTGTGTGGCCGTGTTGGTGTTGGTGGGTGTGTTGGTGACGGTGATGGTGACTGCGTTGGACAAGTCGTCGTCGTCGTTGTTGGTTGTGGTGACCGTATCCGAGTCCGTGACATTGAACCCTCCGGTACCGCTATTGCTGTTGTTGTTGGTGTTGGTACTGGCACTGGAACACAGAAAATAAGATCAATCAGTGGTCAGAACTCACGATGCCAAAAGCTGATCTTATAGTTTTGGTAAGCTCAGCAAACGTTATACATAATTTTGACGGCAGGCAGCAAGGATGTTTTTTTTTTAAGTTTCCTTTTTTTAGGAAGATTGTGCAATTTATTTAATTTATCAATGTTTTACCAAAAACAAGATTCCAAGCACATGAATGAATTTCTCATCTCGGTTAAGAACTGGGAAGAACACACATGTCGTCACAGGGTCTAAACCAGGCGCGGATACAAGGGGGGGGGCATGGGGGCCATGGCCCCCCCTTGGCCGATTTTTTTTTCAAAAATAAAATAAAAAGTTAACAAGTTAAAAAGCTGAAAAGGGGGCCTCCTGAAAATAAAGTGGCCGAAATCCGATGAGTTTTTTTTTAACCTACCCACTTAGTTATTTCTTAGAAGACTAGCTGAGAAGACTTCTTTGTTAGAAGATTGGTAAAGCTTTTCATAACTTGGAGGTCTCTTATACTCACAGAGATGACCACTTTTACAGGGCCTCCTAACCTGCACAGAGGGCCTCCAAGCCTGCACAGATGTTGAGATGTTGCCTGAACAGCTAGATAAGCTCAATAGACGCAGTTTTTTTTTTTTTGGGGGGGGGGGGGGGCCCAACAAGTGGGAAGATGGGGCCTCCAACAGGTGGGATTATGGGGGGGGGCCTCCTGGTTTCTAATGGCCCCTCCCTTGGAGATTTTCTGGATCCGCCCCTGGTCTAAACAAATCATCTCCTGTGGTATCGTTTAGAAACATGGGCCAGCGACTAAGTACTTGAAGTAGAGACAACAAAAACAATTCAGGACCTCAACCAAACGATAGCAAGTACTCATTACCCTTCCCCGTTGACGCATGAGCTGGTTTTGAGGCCAGCAGCCGGCCATGCTCTCAGAAAGTCCAACTTAAGTCAATCTCACCTGGAGAAACCAAGGAGGTACACGAGTCCCAGCGCTGGTATCCAGAAGCTGGTGCTGAGGAACTGTCCCAGCGCACTACTAGCAACGACGTTCCTGTATCTCTTTCTCGGTGGGACGTTGCACCTGCACATCCTCCTCTCCTCAGCAGAAGAGCTCTGCCTTTGAGAGACGGCCGGCTCCTGTTGCTCTGTCTGGTAGTAGTTCTGATGTTGTCCCTGCTCGTATCTCGGATAACGTGACGTGTCTGACAGCTCCTGGTCACCGGATGACCACTGGGCTCGGCGGGACGCCATCCACCGACGGAGGCCGTGGAGCCTCCTGGACATCATCCTGGGAAGTCGCGACATCGCGCTCTTCATCCTCGACCACAGCCGTCTCAACCCGTTGTTTGACATGCTGTGCGAATCAGAGAGTCCCGATCGTTTCTGGATGCTGGGACTGCGCTGCCCAGATCCCTCCGAGTCGTGTCGTCTGCTCAGTCGCTCATTGAAGCTGTATCTGCCTTCACTCTGATGATGTTCGCTCTTGGCACCCCTAGCTGATGCTGCGAATGACGCTCTTGGTAACTCGTTTCTAGAGTAGCGTAGAGCAGTCTCATACTGGTGAGCCTTCCTGGGCCAGTCAGTGCGCCAGGCGCGCGTCAAAGAGCGACGGCGAGGCCGGTTCTCACCACCTATCGCCACCACCGACCTCGGTGCCCTACCGGCCGATTTTGGCCACCCCCCGGGGCTGTCAACAAGTCCGAGCGACTGCGATATCGGCCGCAGTGAGGCGCGGCTGCTGAAGTCCCACGGAGACGGCGATTTGAAGCTGGTCTCGCTCTGTGCCTCTGGTTCCTCGGGCGTGACGCCAGGCGTGGTGTCTGCTGGTTCCGAGCTGTCTGTTGTGCTGTCTGGTTGTGCTAGGTTCGCATCGACTAGCTCAATTAGGTCGTCAAGCACACCTGAAAAGATATAGAACTGTGTGTCAGACCACGGCGATTCGTCGCTTCGAGTATAAACGTTGACGTGAACACGTAACAATGCAAATGTCGAGACTCGACAGCTTCTGAAATAATAACTTAGGAAAGAAGAGTAAACACTAGGAGGAACAAAACGGATAAGTTTCTATCTATGAATTCTTTACTTTTGATGACCAGCCTTACGACAATGATTAGAACTTTTCCCAGTCTCTGAAAGTAGCGCGCAGAAATCGCACATTCTCGATCGGGCTGCAGTGCCTGTGAGCGCTAATTTCGCGTTTCGGCCGTGTCTCGAGGTGCACAGAGACCGCGCTATTTCAGGAGTTGTCGACTATACCGTGTCCGATGGGCGCGTAAATTGAAGCCGATTCGACAGGATTCGTACAGTGCACGCCCTGTTACGCCTCGTTTGCTCTCAAATGTTCAGCGGCACTGTAATTCGGGTTCTGTTTTCCCCCATCACAGCTACCGCGGCGTGAACATGCTTCTGAATAACACAGGCCCGGCGATTTATTTGCGTGTAAGGCATGTCAAAGAACGGTGATGGTCTAAGAAGAAAACAGAGATGGCTTTGGAAACATCCCACATTTGTCAAAACAAAATAACCGTCCACATGTCTGAAATGTGAGGTAGCTAAAATACGAGTTGATTAGCATGTCTTAACATCCAACAACTTCCAAAGTGGTACCGATTTTCACAAGAACATCATTTCGCTCATCATTTGCCGTTGCCGGACACAACAGTGCCTGTACGCATACTCGTATTGTTTATATCTTTTCGTTGCCGGCAATCTAGCGATTACAGTTCAGGTAGAGGACAAAACTTATATATTCATTATTAAGCAAAAATAAAAGACCACGCTGTTCATTAACCCGCGCATGACTGGGGTATTTTCTATAACGCGAGTGACTGGGGAGGGGGGCTCTCCAAAGCCCCCCTCCTATCTCCGAAACTACTGGGCCAATCGTCAAAATTCAAACGGCGTCTGATAACCCTGGAAAAACTGTCGAACGAAAGCTATTTTCATTGATCTCGAGGTCACCGATGACGTCACAGGTCAGGTCAAATTAAAAATTATCGACATTTTTTGCTAGTTCACAATTTAGCTTCTGACCGCCATCTGACAAGTCCGATCAGGCTCATTTTTGGTTTACGCACTCCTTGATAGATGCCTTAGATACCCTGTGGGTAACAAACTTTTACTTCGAATTTTTTTAAGATCAAGGCCAGGTCATCCTAGGTCACGAAAATTGTATATCATGTATCGATCACGTGACGCATGTTTTATGGTCCATTTTACTTGTAGATTTCGAAAATAGTGTCGGCTGTGTCATTTGAGGTCATTGTCAGCTTAATTTACCGAAGGTCAGGTCACTTTCAGGTCAGAAAAGGTGAAATTTGGAAAACGAATTTTTTAAACAAAAAAATGTGCCTATCAGATGCAGTTTGAGCTCAGGAACACGATGGTACCATTTATATTGCTATACGACGTCAAAAATGTACTGAAAAAAAGGATTTGAAAAGTATAAAATTGTAAAATGTTGACAATAATGAGAATAACCTGGCTATTTTTCAAGATATTGGACTAATACTTACTAAAACTTGTCAATAGTTAAAACACTATTCTTTAGAACTGTGTTTTTCTATTGAAAAACAAATCTGAGTTCCCTGACAATTTGGCAAAAGCTGTCTGAGATCAGTACAACTTGATGCTCGAGAAAACGGCTTCTCCAAAAATTCTGATTTTTTTTTCAGGATTTCTAGTGGGCTAGGTGATCTAGGTTCTGGTATGGGTCTCTCTTCCGCGGACAATCTGGTGCACGTGCCACGTGACTTTGAAAAATTTCCATGTTAAGCCAATGGGGAAAATGAAGAAAAAAATGCGTTCCGCCGCAGATTGCTCGAAAACGATCTAAACGACCCCCGATTTTCTTCTTTGCGGATCAACCACCATTCGGTGCACTACCCATGGGTATGTCGCTAAGTGGCCGGAAAAGTTCAGAACCATGTGCCACGTGCCGTTGAAAATGACCCTGCACACCGGAAATTTGGACTTCGGCACACCCGCGAAGCAGACTATGACGTGGGTGACCAAACAATGGGTGTCATCTGGTCGGCAACTGTTTAACCCGGCCGGGCCCGGGGGTAATCCCAACCACTGCAGCCCGGGGAGGGGCGTTCCCCCCCCCTCCCCTCTTGTCTAACTCCGTAAATAAGGGAGCTACGGAAACAAAAGCGATACCAAATGAAAGGTCCTTACGAGACGATTCTAAAACACCTAAAGTTTTTGATCTCAGGTCAATTTTCAAGCCGGTCAGAGGTCAAGGTCAAAGGCAAAAACCGGCACATGTGTAGTGATCTCAAAGTAAGCGTTCTAGAGGACGGCAGGATGCATCAAACCGGCAAAATTGGGTGTGAAACGAAAGAAGAGAATCTGAGAATTCCGAGACTGTGCTCAAAATCAAAGGTCAAGGTCAAGGTCACGCTCAAAATTGACCTCAAACTTTGCACTTTTTCGTACATCTTGCGTGCTAGCTTCCAAGATGTTTTGAAATGTTTTGAGGCTTATCAGTTCCATATTTGTGGTTCATCTTACGATACAAGGCTGCTCAAAGTTCAAGGTCACAGAAGAGTATCCTTGCTAGAGGCTATTTCACTGATTCAAGTTAGTAATAACAAATAAGACAATTTTGCCATCCGTAAGCTCTAAATGAAGGCTTAGAAGAAAATAGATGCCAGATTCGTGATCAGCGGGTACAAATACATCATAGGCTACCTTTCATGTGTCAAGGTCAACCAAAGATCATTCGAGGTCACATGAGGTCAACATAAAACTTGACCTTTTCCAAACAAAATATATATCATTCAACGCGGTTTTACAAGACGAATGCGATGGTACCACTGCCGTAGCTCTAGGACCATTTTTGTCGAAGTTACCTACACTGTAAAAAATATTGAGCTATGTGTCAAAACAAGGGTCTCGAAACAGTCACCAGGTTGTCAATGCTTCCGGTACCTACCACTTGACTAGTTACCGCTTAGTTAGCTTACAGGCTGAGAACTATTCAGATCGTTATGATCCGGTATTGTAATGATACCCTAGGTGTACCTTTGTTTTGAAGTGCTGAATTAACTATCAAGGTTGTTTGACGTTTGTTTTCGCCTCAATCCGAAACGAGGAAGACCCTCATCAAATTATTAGGTGAAAGCCAGCCTCAGGATGATCAAAATACTAGGGGTAGTTTTGTCATAGTAATCTGTGAAGGGTGAGGAACAAGCCGTAGCAATGCACTCGTCACTAAACCAGCCTGAGATTATTCGCCAGGTAGCTGCTGCGTTTCCCTACTTGCTGAATCATGTTTGCAACTTTCCATTTCCAGACACTTTTTACGGCAAATAAATTGTTGGGTTATTTGGAAGGTGAATGACAATTTTATTTCTATAAGTCAATACATTTGTATTTCCGATTGCCCTAAAACTTTTTTTTAATCGTTTGCGGTAGGTTTTTATTGTTCGCAGTAAAGTTGCGCACCTGTGAATCCTTCACTTAATGCGTTCCCGGCTTCCCGGCGCCAGTTGCGCTGTGCCGTGCCGCGTTCGGTCGGGGGTGCGTGCGTCTGTGAAGTGCGAGTGTTTATCACTGGGCAAACCTGTATCGTTTCCATTTGTGCAGTGTCTAGTTATGAAGAATTGCTTGCCGATATATGATCTGCAGTGATCGACGTTCTGATTCAATAACTTGCCATAAGCCATTATTCTCAACCAAATCGCGCCAGAGACGTTTGCAAAGTTGTCGAGGGGGGGGGGACAAGAGCGATTTTAAATGAATTGCTCTCCATGCAGTGCAATAGGACTTAGGTTTAATTTTTCGAAAGTTGTGGAGCCGCCCCCGGTGTCCGGCCTGGCCAACTCTCTCAAGAACCGACAGCTAACGGAACACTGAAGTTTCACTACGACGATTTCCGCCAAAGTTATGAAGAAAAGGCAAGTGCAAGAAGTACAAAACTTCTCTTGGTAATCAAAACTTAGGTTTGGCAAATTCCAAACCCTAAGTCACTACAGCTGTGCTGTCTGTGGATATAAATAAGCTGGTTATTGACGGCCAAGCTCTGGCCAATCTGAGGTTCAGACCTATCATCAAGTTCATGAGGCAGCTGCGGTTTGGGCGGCTCACGGGCTCCACTGCATAGGCTCAGACAGGTACTCTACAAAATGTCTTCTGTGTTCTTAGGTTCAGATCTATCGATAGGTATGTGCATGCTTCTGATTCGATTGATAACTGTAAACGGGCGCTGGAAGTGAAAGGTTCGCTTGATATACGAAAGGTGCATTGCAAGAAAGCACATTATTTCAGAAATACACTTTCATTTTGTCTTGAGCGTTTTTGGAATGGGCCGGATGAATTCGTCATCAAACTGGTAAGGGATTTCGTTTGAAAACCACCGATATTTAATAATATGATGGTCTTCAAACGAATTCGCTGGCAAATTCGATGACGGGATTGGGCGGCGTAGGATCTGCTGGTCATCTGACTATGGGTTGATTAGGGCCTAGTTGGGCTCCTAGTTTTGACCTAGTTTGAGCTTCATTCGTTAAGTAGGAACAAGACGATGCTTCTTTTGAACATCGTCACTAAACAAGCTGCCCTCGTTTTGACATTGTTTTTCGTTATTATTGTTACTAGGTACTTTGTTATCATACACAGCATTAACTAGGACCTGCTTCCAAAACAAGGCAGAAACGCTCCAGCTATTTTTGGGACGTGGTAAAAACTAACCGACACCTGGTAACTGTCATCTGACGAACACAAAACAAGCCAGGGGCTCGCAGCGTGTGTCAAAAGTAGGATGCAAAACTAGTCTGTACCCCCGACATTTAGCGTTGAGAATCATTTGACGAGGGGCTAGTCAATATTTTTTACAGTGTATATGCGAAAAACTAAAACCACATTTCGGGTCGTTGACCTGACCTTTAACCTCAGGTCACCAAAACTATTTTTCTATTTTTCTCTAGGTAAAACACTACACAACCGTTCTCGTAATTTGTTTTTATCTCTAAAACTCTATTTTAAACAGCTATTTGAAGTTTGCGTCTGTGACGCTGAAGTTTGCCGTGCAGGGGTCTAGAAAAATCGACCCTGTGACGTTATCAAGGGGGCCAGGTCCTATGTTTTTACTTCAGAAGATGTCAAATTGATTGGAGAAAAGGTACTGAAAGTTTTGCTTTCCTATCCCTAAGCGTTCGGGAGCTATCGCAAATATTCGCCAGGGGGGGGGGGCAAAAAACGCCCCCGGGCCCGCGAGGTTTAAGGTGAAAATAAATATTTTTCTTCAAAATTTTCAAAATTTTGGCTGTTTGATAGCTACGTGTATTTATAGTCCACTCATGCAAAGAAAATGGATCTAGCTTCAAAACTGAGCTCTTGAGAGCGTTTGCCGTAATTCAATATTTTGCATCGAAATCGGCCGAAATAACGTCACTCTGACGTCATTTCCGGACAAACTATGGTAGCTAGAAAGTTGAAATTTTAACACTAGGTGTCAAATTGCTGCCTCTGAGGGTAACGCAAGTTTCGTGTTGATCCGTCAAACGGTTTAGAAGATATTGCTGAAAAACGGGAAGGGGAGGGGTCTCTGTAGAGCCCCCCCCCCCCCCCCAGTCATGCGCGGGTTGATGCTCTAATGTTTATTCAAAGTGAACTTAGGTTATGCGTTGACTAATCCTAGTTTCTTTTATTTTGATAATCACGTCTACAATTACATAGTTGCCTTGTTTCTGATAAATGACCACTAAATTCCACGTAACGTTATGGAAGGGCCAAAGGGCTTGGAGTTATAGCGACGACTCTTAGGCCAATAACTCTTAGACCAATAGGCCAAAGGGCTTAGGCTTAGGAGTTTTAGCGATGACTCTTTTGTACAGTTGTGGTAGATATGTGCTATCGTGTTGATCTGATGCCCGTAATTTGAAAGTTAAAAAAAGATCAACCGCCCGTGCCCGACGGCAGCGAATCACACACGGAACAAAACGAATATCTCATTCATCGCTTGATGAACAGATGTCCTGGCCACCCATGGTGAAGGCAATTGAACAATTATATAATACGATTGATTAAATCCGTAACTGCTCTAATGTCAACGTTTGAAATGAAGAATTCGCTAGTTTTTCTTCTTCATGGTTCACCGCTTGATTTATTAGCCTGTAAAAGAGTATCATCACGACCATTATAACTAAATTAGCCAGCCGACCATAAATTATCGTGTGCTTTGTCACTCTAGGTGTAATAAATATCTGGCAACGCTGCACCGGCGGAAATGACTGGCATCATTTCCACCTGCATTAAACTGGTTCGGCAGCCCGCTGTCACGCCGGGCTGACCATGCTGCACTGATTTGTGCTCCCTGGCACCACCCGCTGTTTACTGCTGTGCTGCTGCTAAGGCCTGAGTGCTGATCTCTTCTCATGCAATCCGCAGCCTGCGGTTCGTAACCGAACGGACCACGACCTATGGTCACAGTTTGCAGCAAATAGAACACAGCTCAGTGTCAAAATTCATCATTCACGTCTTAAACCTCACCATTCACACCTCATAACCACAAATGACAAATTATCCCACGGATACATCAGACGCGAGTCATACATTCTAACGCATTGCCTACAACTCGCAGGTTACACCTTCTAACTCACCTGGGTCGGACTGTTTGATGGCCTTCTCCAGCTGGAGGCATGTCTCAGGGCTGATGAACTCGGCTAGTGTATCGCAGACTGGGCTGTGACGAGCAGGGAAGTCCCTGCCTCCCACGGCGGCCGGTCCCATCCAGGCAGCGCCGGCTGCCAGGAAAGCCCACAGCAAGATGGTGGCGGTCGCCTGAGAATGGAACCTAGGTGAATGTTGATTACTTTGTCGGAGGGACGACATTCATTTGAGCTCTTTTGCTAGCCGAACTGCACATTTTTCATCGTTGCTGTCAGATCAAAAGTGTATGTTCCTGTCTGCTACATAAAATGAGATAGCGATGCGAATGCTAAGCTGCTCGATTTGTAAAAGCATTTGAACAGTGAACATGTTCGATGGCAATTAGCAACTTTATCTACATTAGACCTACGCCAGTTCTTTGACGTTCTCTTTTTTCGGACAGTCGGAGTCGTTTAATTTTCTAGCTCAGTCCCGGGAAGTCCCAAATGCCCCTTCTGACCTTCAGACCTCCGCCGGTCGCTTCTGACTGGTCAGAGGTCGAACTATCCGACCTGGAGCAGGCCCGATGACAATTGTCCGCGTATCGTGATTCAGGGATCTGTTCGTCGTTGACCGGTACTGATCCTCTGGAATAAGTAATCATTTCTGCTCATGCAGATGAAGGGTGATAACGTGCATGCAAATATATGGAGCAATGCAGTTTGAGACGAAATGGCATGCTTCGAGCAGCAGCTGTCAGGTGCTTCATAGAAATGAAAACGACGCCCTTGATTTTTGCTGCACCGAATCAAGCTACGGTGCAACAAAAATGTACCATCAACCATATATGGAATCAAGCTTGGTTATATGCTGCTACCTACGTAGTCCACTCTGGAAATACTGCCCCTGTATTGAACTTTGTAAACTTTGATATTTGTAGGTATATCTATAACTGAATCTAAAAATTCGTTTTTACCCATGCGTTCCACTTACCTGATAAGATGGTACTGGGTCAGGGCTTTGATGACGCCACTCAGATCATCCTTAGTTTGAGCTGCAATCTTCTTGGAAAGGCTGTACGCATTTGTTCTGAGACGATGACCTAGCTGCTCGGCAGTCTGAGTCAATTGAGGGTGCTTCCAGTTGATTAGCTGAGACGGCGTCTCTGCGACGCTTTCACCATTTCCATCCCCCCGGTCCTGGAGGTGGTAGCTGATCCTCGAGCTAAGATTGTGACGGAGTTGTGATGTGAGCCATGGACTATTCTGATATTCAAATTCTGACCTGGAATTTTGGTCGATTTCTGAAGTTTGTTGTGCGCCTCTTCTTCGAGTATCATATGAGTTCGATGCTACATCTCGACGTGGTCGTGATAGATCTCTATACGGTGAACTGCCCGAAGCAGTGAAATCATATCGACCCACGCTCCGCGGCCCACCAGGAATGGGGTTTACGTGCTCACGATGACCCCCGCCGTAGATATCCAACTCATACGACCGAGCTGCTCGGCTCACAACACCGCGTTGATGTTCGTGATTGTTCGCCATAAACGATTTCGTCTGACCATTGCTGTGCTGCAGCCCTATGGGCTCGTCGGTAGGGGAGGAAACGTGCATCGCATTTTGTTGTGCAATTATGAGTATCTCTATGGGTTCCTGCTTTGACCTGTGAGAGTTTGCTGAGTAGAAATCGGGGCGAAACCTTGTCCGCCGGGCCAGATGACCTCTGTTCCCGGCGTTTCGCGAATCTCGACGCAATGGCGGAGCTACGGCGGCGGGCGGCGTTGACGTACTTTCTCGCTGAATAGTAGCACCTGCCGTTTTGGGCAGCGGCACGATTTTCTGATACTCTGGTCGGTAGATGAAACTGTCGGCGAGTCTAAGCCTGTCGGACAAAGAAGCACTAATTCCAGGCTGTTGATCCTGAACAGAGGGCGCAGACGACAAAGGTGACCCTCGACCGCCATCGGTCACCTCTCCTGGGTTCGTCCGCCATTTGGAAAGCGCCATCAGTCGCTTTGTGACGTCCACAGGAAGTGACGCCACCGGTCGCGGCCACATCAGTGGCCACATCAATGATAATGAAGGCAGGAGAGTTATCAGAAGCTGCAGCGAGTAACGCGACCTGAAGAATTCTCCCGACGCTGCGACTGACAGGGCTGAGAAGCTCGCCATCTCTATTCTAGATTTGTTTCTGGTGAGCTGATGTCTTGACCTCAGTGTTGATGTTGAAAGCAGCTGCAGTTTATCGACCTCCAGAGAGTACGCAATGTTTGCAGTGCAGCAGCATCACTGGAAAATGCAGGGGATAGGCGTTACTTAGAATGAATGATTTTAGAGCTTCTTCGCAAAGACACAGACTCGTAAACGACATATATCAAACAATGGTTACTAGACGTAATAAAAGATCAACACATTCACATTAAACCTTATGCCGCAAATCGTAATTTTGATAAATACGTGTTACACGTATGTTCCAGAAAATAAAAATGTTTGCGCCCAAATGATGAACATAAATGTTCTAAATCAAGCATAATTAAACTGGAATCAAACTAAGCATGAATTTGTTTCCCAATCACACCAGATTATGATATTTATGGACCACTGTCTAAAATGACAAAATGTTGTGCGTTTATTAATTGTTTGGCTGACGAAAAAAAAGCCAGTTAAATGACCACAGATGAAAAAAAAGAAAAGAGATCGTTTGTCTGGTGATTTGAGAGTGACTGCTTGACTGGTTATTTGGTGCGGTTAGGCCAATTTAACGTCAACAGGTCTTCCCTCATAAGGGCGGGGATAATTGTGCACATGTGGGCCGTGACATGATATGATCTTTCTCTGAAGTGGGAGCCACAAACAATGCGCGCAAAATTACACTCCTCGTGGTTGTATTCAGTAACTATATTACAGTGTTGGTAATTTATTTTTGTTTCAGTTGGAACAGGCGTACTATTTTTGCATTAGTGCACGACAGCCGTGACTTCTGAATGCAGCGAAGCGTTGTTGAACGCCATTGGAGTTTATGTCTCTCATTTAAGAGCCAGGAAGTCTGAGAAACATAGCAAGGTAATAGAGTTGTCACTGAATGTTCATTGTCCGTCTGTGCAGTGGCGGCACTCCCAGGAATGACGCGGTGATGACACAGCGAGAACCGTGTCCATTTAAAACTAATTATCAAGTACTTACCTACTCACGAATGGAATAACCATTCGCACTTTGACCTACTAATGAAATATGGGGTTCTACATATATTTACTCCCACTGCTAATGAATTTTACCCTCAACAGTAGTTATGCCAGCGTTAACCCGCGCCCCACTGCACAGTGGGGATTTTTCCGATCTAGCACGTATTTATTCGTAGAGAGCAAACCATAGGTAGAATTGTAGCCAGATTGTGCACAGATGTTGGCTGGTGTGTCCTGGTGAGAATTTTACCTGTAAATGTGCATAATCAACATAGTACAGGGGGTTCAATTGGACCCCCGCTCAGCCGTTTGGCCCCTGATCAAGCTAGAGCTTCGCGGAAAAGTCAAGCGTGCTGCCTATGACGAAATGATGCCGAATATATCCAATTTCAAAGTCCAAAGTCATAAGCTGACTTTCCAAGTCAGTTTAATGACCCAACTAAAGTTGGGAAATCGAGACCTCTTGAAACTTCGCAAAGTTAGGGTGTTACGGGGTATTTTGGGGTGCTGATCACGAATTTCATGTTAGTTTTGATCACAGACGATGTCTTTATGCATTTAGGCCAGGTCGGGTCAGGTCAGGTTAGATCAACTAGTAGGCGTCCTGCCGGCCATCCATAGAAGTGTCACCTGCTACTGATAGCTTCGTAACATGGAACGAAGGCACCAGAACTACTTCGTAAATATTCAAATGGCTGCTAAAGTCGAAATCAGCACCAAAAACTACCCTAGAAACAAGTAAAACTCGAAAAAGTGGACCAAGGTCATCAAAAGGTCAATGACCTTGACTTGACCTTCACGTGACCTTGACACCCACCATTATGCATAGCACCAACATCATTTCACATATTTGAACGTTTAAAACCACAAAAAAGACTGGAAACCGCGGATAATGTGAGCTGGCATACGCCGAATCGCGATTCCGGCCAAACATAGTCTCGAGAAATATGCCACAGGTCAAAGGTCAGTTGGGTCAGAGTCATGAAATTTTTAGGTTAGATGTAAAATTGATGATCTCGAGGGCACCGAAAGTTTCGGCGCGATCGGCCGCTTTTTGCGCGAGTAATTTGCGGAAAACCATGGGGTTTTATCCGACCCCTTCCCCCTCCCCCTCCCCACAAGTGCGATGGTTAATAAGGTTACGGTATGTATAATTTACGCTTGCCATCCTATTCCTAATGAATGTGTCTCAGAAAATATGCATCATATAAATCACGAAGTAAAATTATTCGCCTATGTCTGGAACCTACCTATATCGTGCTGTTTGCCCTATAGCGCTCCTCGAGTGGGGTGTTAAGATACTCTAATGTGAATATTCCGTGTTCAGGCAAGTTTCGGCAGCCAAACTAGGCGTTGTCTTGTGCAGGAGAAAGTGGCGAATTCGATAGGATATATTTCGGAGTGGAAAAGTGTGGAGAACATTGTTGATTTCCTACATTTATTTAGAATACCATTCCTTCAATATGGTGTCTGTAAGAGTTTTTTGTAAAGGGCATTTTTGTGACCTTAGTAAGGTTGTGGCATACTTTCTGTTTGCCATTCCATTCCTAATAAAGGTGCCTTTCAGATGATATGCAACTTTAAGACCTCGCAAGATTAAAACCAACAGGACAGGACAATGAAATTGAGCTATACATTCGGGCCTTGCTGAGCCCATTGAGTAATCACGCATGAGTGTGAACTTTGGGCGCATTTTTCCTAGTTTTGCTGTGGACATACAGATAAAACAATGCCATATATGAAAAATTCAGACATTTCTTAGCCCTACTGACACAAAAAATAAACAAAAATCCCAAAAAGATTTTTTGAATTAATAGGCGCTAGATCGGAAAAATCCCCACTGTGCACTGGGGGGCTATTCATAGCTCCCCTCCCGTTTTTCTGCAATAACTTCCAAACCGCTTGACCTATCGACGCCAAACTTTCAGTACCTTCGGCTGCATCAACTTGACACCTTGTGTCAAAATATGAATTTCGTAGCTAACATAGATCGGCCGGAAATGACGTCAGAGTGACGTAATGTTCGGCCGATTTCGACGCAAAACATTGAAACCCAGCAATCGCTCCTCATAGCTCAGTTTTTAAGCTACACCTTTTTTCGTCCGAATTCACAAAGATGAAGTCCAAATTCACAAAGCTGAATTCCAAATTCACCAAGCTGAATTCCAAATTCACAAACCTAAATTACGAATTCAAAAGTCAAAAGTCCAAATTCACAAACAAAAAGTTGGAATTCAAAAAGATAAGATCGAATTTCAAAAAGCAAAAATGTGATTTCAAATAAGTAACAAGCAATTTCACAAACCAAAAATGCAATTTCAAAAAGATAATGCTGGATTTCAAACGTTGTTTCTTGTTGTTTTCTGATGATATGTTACCTAGCTCTTTTAACATATACCTACAATTTAAAATGACAAAATATTTTGTTTTTTTTCGGATGTAAAAATAATGTTCCTATATCTTCAGAATTTGTCGGTTTTAGCTTATAGTGGATACCTAATAACGTGATAATGAGCAGAGTGGCCATCTGCAGGCACTGATCTCGTTGAAATAAATGCAAGGCAACGGACGGACAGTTTTATTTGCGACTTAGACAAAAACAACGCAAAGCTGCTTGTCTGACAACGCCGTAGGGCACGTTTGGAACTAAGCCACTACAAATCAGAAACATATCTTGAACCTCCATCACTCTCACACGCCCATCGCCAGGTCGGCCAGGGCCACGCACCCGGCATAGTGGCGCTGGACGTGATTGTAGAAGTTCATGCACATCACCGGGTTGATGCACTCCATGGCGGCGTCCATCTTGGCCTCCAGGTAGCGCAGCCGGTGCTCCTGCTGGGTGATGCCGTCAGTCGTGTCCATCATGGCGCTGAATGATGACGCCATGCCCCGCTTCATGTTCGCCTTCACTGCAGACCAGACAGCCTCAATCGGGTTCAACGGCGCGCTGTATGGCGCTGTCCGTACCAGCTCCAGACCAGGGAACTCGGCTGCAACTGCCTCCAGGTCACAGTGTACCGGCGCGTTGTCACAGACGATCGTCACCTGGTCGAGCGGCAGAGGGCAGGCCTGCAGGGCACGTCGCAGCCAGTCAGAGCAGTCCGTCTTCCGAAAGGACCCTCGTCGGCGCTCCCAGTAGATGATGCCGGTCTGCGACATCAGCCCGATGATATGGACGTTGGGGCCCTTACTGGTGGCGGCCTTCACCGAACATCGCAGGCCGCGGCGGGATCGGCCCTGAGAACGCCGCAAAAACAGGTTCGCGTTCGTTTCATCCATGTAGAGCACCGATCTCCCACTCCCCGTCGCCGCCATCACCTTTCGCACGTACTCGGCCCTCTTCTGCTTATTTGCGGCGTTGTTCATGGCCACTGGCTCGGCCACGACCTTCTTCATAGTAAACAGCTGGCCGTGCAGGTGGCGGTGGATGGTCGGGACGGATATGGTGACACCGGTGTCCTGGCGCAAATTGCGACCGATCTCCACGAGAGATATCAATGGATTCTCCTCGACGTAAGTGACCATCTTGTCGACCATCCCCTGGGTAACTTTCTTCTTTGTGGCACCGCCACGGGGACGCGGCAGCTGTCCTTCGGGCCTCGTAATGTACCCGTAGGCAGTGCGGACCGGAATTCCATTCGCTGTCGCAGCCGCCTTCCAGTCTCCACCTTCATTGAACACGGCCACGACCCGCTCTTGGGCATCCCGGGGGATCCGCTTGTACGGCCCACGCCTGGTGCCCGGCGGAGGGCCGCGCCTGCCTCGCGGCTGTGGTGGGCCGTCACCGCCACCGGCAGGTCCAGCTTCGTCAGGAGCTCCGTCAGGAACTGGATTTTCAACCTCTGTCAATTCTACCTCAACTTGCATATCCCCATCATGGTTAAAAAAATGGTCAACCTCCGTTGA